TCGCCTTTTCCCAAGCGTGTTTTGTGATGGACAAATACCTCCACTTCCTGTTAACAGGGTCGTGCCAACTGAGCCGTCTAATTTTAATTTTCTAGTCGGCTAGCTGAAAGGGATTTCCGCCGCGTCGTTTTCGCCCGGCTTAAGCTTCAGCCTGGAGACACCTGTGCGTTTCTGCCGGACCGACCGGCCCGTCCACTTTCCCAGCCGCCCCTGCTCGCGGGCGCAGCAGAGGCCCCTCGGCTCGCCGTACGACCGTCATCCAAGATGGGCGCCCCCATCGGGCACGGCCAGGGCGCGGCCATGTTGCCGCAGCGGAAAAAGCGGGATCCGGTTGCCTTTTCTCTAGCAATGCCTCAGACCCTTGTTGGCCACCGTCCCGGGCTGCTGAGGGACGCTGGCGAAGTTTAGCGAAGTAAGTTCAGGCGCCCACCGGTCGCGGTGGTGTGTGGCGAAAATCAGGTCAGTGGCAGGGTGTGTTTGTGGGTCGACGACGTTCGCCTTGGGTGATGCGGCTGGGATGCCCGTGGGAGGAGAGCGTCGGTGGATGTGCTTCCGCGTTCGGGTGTGAGCTTGTTGGTGCCCCTGGCCTCCGTCAGGGAGGTGCTGTGGTGGCTCGTGTTGAGAGATCTCTGGAGAACAGCGATCTGGTGCCGAGGGCACACTTGGGGGCCGTTTCCTCTCTGGGGCTCAGAGAGTGCTAGCCGCAGGGTTGTGGCTGTCGGAGAAGGCTGCACGTGGTGCAGAATTTGTTCGGGGCTCAAAGATGAGCTGTTTCGGGGTTCACGGGCAGGGGTCTGTGGGGGCTCACGGGGGCGCTGCCCCGAGCGTCCGGGGCGCCGGGGCGAGTGTGGGCCGCGCCTGGAGGCCCGGGGCTTGGCCGGGGCGTGCTGAGCCCAGACCTCGGCTGCTGCCACAGACGCGAGCTTGCGTCCCCCTTCTGCCCTGTAGCCCCAAGTCCTCAGCTCTAGTTTTTTTTTTTTTTTAACTTTTTATTTATTTATTCATGAGAGACAGAGAGAGAGAGAGAGAGGGAGAGGCAGAGGGAGAAGCAGGCTTCCCGCGGAGCGGGGGGCCCGATGCGGGACTCGATCCCAGGACCCTGGGATCATGACCTGAGCCGAAGGCAGACGCTTAACCATCTGAGCCACCCAGGCGCCCCCTTCCGCTCTAGTTTTTAAACCCTCTGTGGCACCCAACCTCACGCCTTACTCTCGAACTTTCAGAAATCAAAGTTTGTGGCGAGGTGAATGATCCAGCGTATCAAATAGCAGTTTCAGATTTAAGATGCAGCCTTTTATCCTTTGTCCTGAAAGATTCCTGCACATTGCTCCTGGATATTTCTTGTCAGACTCCGACTGACACAAGTAAAATAACATCTCTTGTCACTGTAAATGCCGTGCCCAAGGGATAATCCTTGTCAAAATTTTATTACATTTTAGTTTGAGGCTTTTATATTATGTGCTTAATATTGATAATTCAGATAAATTGTGTAAATGGTACTATGATTTTTCTCTCTTACCTTATTTCATGTAATAAACATTTACAGATTATTTTAATGTATGAACCTGTGGTACTGTGAGTGGATTCGTATTCAGTGCTTGCATATATTTATTTAAAGGTGAAATGTTTGAAATGTTTAGGTATCATTTTGGGGACATTTTATGATTATGCATTTACTCATGGATTTGTTCCCCTGCCTTTCATCTCCAATGTAGACAGTTTATTTTTATCTCAGTTGTAAGACTGTTATTCCTTTCTGACTCCCTTTTCCTTATAATTTTCTATAATATAAAAGACCAATTAACTTTATTTTTTATTTATTTTTTAAATATTTTATTTATTTATTTATTTGAGAGAGAGAATGAGATAGAGTT